ATAGTTGGAGTTGCGCGCGTTCATCGGACATGGCATATAATAAAATAATCTACCTCCTAATTTGGGTGTCGTTTACACGTGCCAAGCGACCCTCGACACACTGATGAGCCAGCCAACCACCTCATCTGGCAGAGTTTCGAGTTTGATCTTGTCCCTCATTAACCAAGTGTAATCGCTGAATCTAAACGAAGACTTGGTATGCAATGGGCTTTGGCCCGGGCATTCTAATTGTTAATTGGGGGTAACAGTGGCGTTTTTCTTTCTTTTTTCCTGGACAAACTCTTAACGGAATTTGAAAGTCGAGAGGTTATCGCATTTTTTATGGCTCAAAGTTGTGGCATTTGAAATGATGAGTTTGTACTTTCACTCCTACACATGTGATATACATATTTCACATCAATTTCTTAAAGTTCATTTTTTGAATTTTACTTTCCCTCCCACACACACATATGAAATATATTATTTAAATTTCCCAAAGTTCATTTTTGAAAAAAAAAAAATACTTTGGAAACATGGAAAATTTGAAACATATTTTCAGATATTAGATTTAGGCTTTGAATGCTTTAAGAATAACGATTGTAATTCTAGGAATAAGTCCACTTAAGTCGAACTTTCTTCTGATTTCTAGTTAATTCAGTTAACATCTACACTTTCCTCTCCCATTCTTATGTGGACTAATATTGTACACATGACCATCAATTAAAAAGTTCTCCTCTATTCACTAAATGTCTTGACCCCTCAATTTGTCATTGTGTTTTTTTGTGTTCTTGACGTTCCAGACATTTATTTATATGCATTTGTGTAATTTGCTATTTTGTTGTATTGTGTTCTTGTTGTGCTTTTCTACTGCCCGACACTTGACCCTATCAAATAATAATGACTTGTGTACATGACTGGACAGGCACTGAATTGGTGACTGTCTCGAAATCTGGCGCCGTTTACAATGCCATCGGCTAAACAGAAGAACAAAAAAAACAACAAGAAAAAAAAACAAAAAATAAACATCAGCCAAATACATATACACAAAAGTCAATAAACTTGAATCTGATAGGTTGACAGCGGGCGGTATCGCTAGGGGATCAATATAGGGGGTTTCATTCGCACGGTGTGTCGCTCAAAGAGTTCAATTGTGGCAGACGCAACGCTTAAGGATCCTAAGCAGAATTCTAAATTCTAAAAAAGTGTACTATTCCATATCATACTCTTAATTTATTATTATTATTTTTGGCTTACGTTCAATACTAGATTATGACTGATATTGAAAGCATTTTCTTCTTTAAAGTTAGAAAAACTCTTGGCTTTAGAATATTCTTTAATGAAGTCTTTATCATTATAAAGTGGAATTTACAAAAACCAAAAATAATAATATCGTAATAATAACTAGTTACTATTATAATTGGATTGTCAATGCTTTCAGAAAGAAACTATTTCCATATTAAATTCGATTTCGGTCTAGACGATTCTTTAATTAGCTCTTTATTAGTATAATGTTAATCTTGCAAAAACAAAAAATTAAAATAACATTGTACAAATGTCTCATTAACCGCAAAATATAAATACCAAATAAAATAGCATAAGCGATCTCAAATATAATTTTAAAAAACCTCTATTGCATATGCCTTCTCTCTCTCTTTTTGTTTCCATCTATCTCTATCTCTCTCCTATCCGCTTTGTGTGAGTTAGTTGAGGGGTTGTAAGCATTAATTGATTAACTGGGATTCATCTGCTACAAGCAGACTTGATAAGTGACTCTGTCAGCCTCTTCTTTCCACCCTATTTGATAATATTTTAACTCGCTGAACCTTTGGGACCTTCTACACCGCTTACACCACTGACTCATTTCAATATTTACTGAGCCAATCGCCAGCTGAGTTTCCTTTGTCTGACTAACTGTCAGCTGGCGCTACAGAAAGCCGTTGGCATAAATTATATATGTATGTATAAGCGCACGGCGCTCGGCCTATGTAAACGGAGTAGGAGCCGTAGCCTGAACCCGTCTCCAACTCCAATTTTACCTCGGGCTCCAACTGCAACTTCAACTCCAGCGATTTTTAACGCTCACAGCGGGTGCTCATTGTCCAAGGCAGTTAAACAAGACGCTTTTCAGCTCGTAAAACATGGCTCAAAAGGTTTCTCGTGGTGTTTTTTCTTTCTGTTTTTTCTTTTCTTTAGTTTGGTTAATAAAGTTATTGATTTGTGTTTTAAGTGGCGTGGGTGAAACGCTCTGCGCAATGCTGTGGGTCCCTTCTTTCACCCAAACTCAAGAACCACAACAGCAACAACAACATCAACAACAATTACAAATTAATGTCCCACATTTGTGGCAATCTCTCGCATTTATCAGTTGATTTGTTTTTATTAAATGCTGAGCTGTTAAGGCTTTAAGCTGACGCCTGTCAATTGCGACACGAGCAAGTCACGTACCACATCCAGGTCCCCCAAGTCTCCCATCTCCTCCTTCGCTTATCTCAAGGAGGCGTGGGCGGGCGGCGCGTTTAAGTAGCTTAAACATACGCGGTGGTCCAAAGCATAACTTTGTCTAATGACTCGGAAATCCGTCACTAATAATAAAAGCCAAGGCTATAAAAGGCAGCGAGCATTTGAGACGTTGAGCGCTGAGTTTCCATTCCATTCCAAGCTCTGACCAACGACTCTCCACTCTTGACACAACTCTCCCCTCCATCTCCATCATCCAATTGCCCGTTGCAGTTCTGCATTGGAGAATGGGGCCCGACTCTGAGCTCTGACATTGAGCACGTGTGTCTCTCATAATCCTATTACCGAGAGAGAGAGGGAGAGGGAGAGGGAGAGGGAGAGAAGAGTTGCTCGATTGTCGATTCTCGAATTTATGAATGAACTTTTCATATACAGTTGATGCAATAAGTGTGCGACTTGTAAATGAAATCAAACTCGATATCTACTTACAACTAAGATATTATTTTAAGTACAAACTTTATCTGAAAGCCACTTTATGTTGTTACAAATGGCATAATAATTAAATATAAGCATATTGTATGTGCTTTCAAAATATATGTTTACTTTTCGATCAAACAACTACATTTGAATTACACAATGCAAAAATGTGAGATAAAACAGGCATCTCTACTTTTCTCCTTTAACACTTAAATAATACTTCTGTCCAAGTCTTGTTGTCACTTAAAATGCTTTAATGTGACTACAAATGTAAGAAAATAGTTTTAGACAAAATGCTATATATATATATGTACAGCACTTACTTCAACTCAAGTAAGCAAGAATTTAAAATTAAAATTAAATCCTTGCGAGTTTTCCCTCTACATCATTTAAGTTGTTCTCGCAGGATTCTAATTGATTTCTGTAATCGCATTAAACTAAACCAAATGCCAAGCAAATTTAAAGTGCTATTCATTTCGCTTAAGTTAAATTCACTTGTCCCCTAAGCAGCTAAGGAGTTGGGCACGCCTCCAGGCCCTGCCTCCCCCTTCCCCTTTCCCCTTTCACCCTGCCCCATCTCCAAGCATTGAGCGCATTTCGACTAAATTTTTGTTGGAGTTTCTTTTGTGTGTTTGTTTTGGGTACCCACGCATGCGCCTGGATGCCAGGGCGACAAGGGTTGCAGGACAGAGTCGGAGTTTTCAAAATGGCTGCACAAATATTTGATTATCGTCTGGGGACGCTGTTGTTGGCGCTGCTGTTAAGCCTAACTGTTACTGTCGCAATTCATTGAATTTGCAGGGCTAATTAAACACGTTAACAACTGTCGCGATGCGATGAAGCGTGCAGGGATAACTTGCCAAAGTTGCTTCGGATCGTCGCCAGTTGCCAGTTGCCAGTTGCCAGACGCCAGTCCCACCCCCCCATCTCCAAAAAAGATATTGCACAGTCTGTTGCCCTGGTTCCGATTCGAATTCGATTTGGGGTTCCTGATTTTTATTTGATCCTTTTATTTTTTTTTTTAGATTTCATGGCTAAAGACCAGCGGCTTGGTAGCTGTCTATATCATACGACTATCCCTATTATGCCCCGGCATCGCTGCCTAATGCGAGTGGACAGTTTGCCAGGCGCCCAATCAAGTGTTTTCAAATTGGGTTAAGCGCGTACAGTGGTTGTTCGCAAAGGGAGACTATCCAGCAAATACACAAATCGCTTATGTTCTGAGTAGCCTTTGGTTATATTTAATAATGATTTAATTAACTATAATAAATTTCAAATTCAAATTTTATTCAAAATAAGTATTGTTGGAGTTTTAAGAGCCAGCATTATTTTTATAACATGGAACATTCTAGTTTCCGAGAGATCACTGTACCACAAGGGACCCAAAAAATAACCAACATAGAGAAGAACAGACGAAGTGCAAGCCCCGTTCGTGGAAACGAAAGCCCTTCCAGGAAGCATTGAGTGCTGCCCACTTGCTGCACAATTGCAAATGCCGTTAATGCCCAGCAAAGCAGCTGTCCTGGCGCCGCCCTAAAACCAACAATAAATGCACTCAACAATCCACCACAAAACTCACTCACTCAAGCGCTCGGCATTCTGCGCATAAGACAGAGAGAGAGAGAGAGAGAGAACGATAGAGAGAGAGTGCGCGCAACAGAGGGCAGGCAGAGCGAGACGACAATTGCTTTGAGTGGATCGAAGCTTCACATCGGTGCTGTTGTTGTTGTTGTTGTTGCTCACTTCTCGTTCTTCGGGTTGCCGACGCCAACGCTTTCAAATGGGCAAACGGGCAAATTTAGTTGACACTCAGCTTTATGTGACACTCGTCGGGAGAGCGGACGACAGCTACAACAATAAAACAAAATAATAATAAAAAAAAAACAATAAAATACGGAAAAAGCTTTGCGCCGTCGGCTCAATAAAACAAATGACAACTAAAAATTAAAAACAGAAAAAAACCACACACAATTCGCATCGTTAAAATTAATTTGGCACAAATTAATTTGCGCAACGGAACTGCCCAATTAGTAAAAGCGTAAATTAAAATGTTAATGTTGAGATCCATTCAAATTTAAACAACGCGCGTGCAGTGCAAAATTATTACAAAATAATTGCAAAATATTTTCAACAATTTAACACGCCTTTCTCTGCAGCTTGTTAGTGCATTTTATACAGTGCATTTCACACATACTTATTTTTGTTCGCATTGTTAATTGATTGCTGTGATTCCGACTAATCAATTGTGATGCTCGCGCAGCCGCAGCCCATTTGATAAGCAACGGCAACTGCAACTGCAACAGTAGCAACAGCAACAACAACGCCTGGAATATGTTGTATAATGTGCCGTGCTATCAAAACTTTTCAACGCTGGATTACTACAAGGTGAGCTGAGCCCCGACCATTCCCTGCTTGTCCCTCTCCTTGAGCTTAGAGTTATCTCTATCTAAGTTCCTCATCTTCTTATGTCACTTATAATAACGATTTACGTAAAATCTTTTGGTTGTGCACAAAACAGTTTCCAGAACTTTGATGCTAATATATAAAATGTTGGTAAGCCTCTATGTTCTTTCTTTCTAAGTTCTACTCGATTTTTTGAAATTTATTTGATCGTTTACTGAGGAGTTTCCCATTCCAAAAGAACACAAATAAAACATAATTTTTATTAACCAATTTTGTAAGCTCTTAGAAAGTAATATTTTAAACTTGCTCCAAATTTTAAACAGGAGTAAAAAATGGATTGAATTCTAATTTCTAATTAGAAATCAAACAATTTGACAAAGCCCATTAACTATATAGTTTCCGTTGCAATTTTTCTATATATATATAAACGTATATTTTGTATTTTTCTGCATACCACACACATATTGCATAATGTGCACAATCTTACCCGAAAATATCGAAATTTCCTAAGAGCTGAACTTTATCAATTACTGAGTATACACAAGTAAATACTTGAGAATACATATTTTATTCGATCCAAGATTTATTTTGAAACATTTTAACATCTGTGGTCAATTCTTGTGTTAAATTACATTTCTTCCGACCACACACATATTGCATAATGGGCACAATCTTAGCCCGAGAATTTCTAAACTCTTCAGCCTTTAAGAACTCAACTTTTCAACTTCTGCAGCGCTTAAATCTTCTAAACTGAGTTCGACCCACAGGGAAAAATTAATTATTTTCCGCATCAACTGCGCATAATTACAATCCTTTAATGCGCCGTCTAGATCGAAGATCCGAGATGCCAAGGCTTTGATCTCTCTGGCAGTGAGCTGTAAGAAATCAAAAACGCAAACGGTTTTGGCTACTGCGCATTTGCCCAAAAACCCAAAGAAAAAGCAAAATAATGGAATGAGCCTTTAAATGCAGCCAGGAAGCAGACAATGGCAGCAGACAAGCAAAGGCAAAAGGGAAATTTCAGCTTAAAAAGGGCAAAGAACTGCCTGTTTATCCTGTCGATCGAATACAAATCATTTGACCAGAAATAGAAACCACAAAAGCAAATATTGCCAGCCAAATGCCAAGGCAAAGCCAGTAGGTCAGGCATGTATGTGTGCATTAGTGTGTGTGTGTGTGTGTAGGTGTATGTGTGTGTTGGTGTTGGTGTAGATCTGTGTAGATAACTATTGAGTTGTTGATTTCTTTTTTGATTGACAGTTATTATGAGTTTGTAGGAGTTTGTGTGTGTGAGTGTGTGTAACTGCGTTCTTTTGCGCTCTCTCTCTCCCTCCCTCTCTCTCTCTCTTGCTCTGTTGCCCGGGCAGCCGAGACTCATTACCGTTACGTTCGCTTTTTTGCCTCTGGCGTAACTTGAGCGGAGTTTTGGAGCAAAGCAATTTGCGCTGCTGCTGCTGCTGTTGCCAGGCAAACACATAAATACATTTTATATATAAATATATTTGTGGAGCAGGCTGCGCTACAAAATGGCGGCCATCGATGTGCTTTTTTTTGTGAGGCGCCATTTTGTTTGTCTATTTGTCAATCTCATAAATGCAAATGCCAAAGCAACGGGACGAGCTCGCTGCTCGCTGCTCGCTGCTCGCTGCTGCGGGCTGAGCACTCGGGCTTCAGGCTGGCTGCTGTTGAAGCCATTAGCAAATAATTTCAGCGAAATTTTTATTCAGCATTGTTGTGCTCACACACACACACACACATTCACACACACACACACATACACAGACAAATGCCGTCAGGATAATTTCATTGAAATTTGAGTCGTCAAAAGGAGCAGCAAAATGTACAAAAGGACGCCGTGCAGATGCCTTGCGCTTTTCGTTGTTGTTGCCGTTCGCTACGGGCGCGCCATTATAACAACAAACAATGCAGACAGCAGCAGGAGCAGTGGCAGTGGCAGTGGCAGTGGCAGTGGCAGTGGCAGTAGCAGTAGCAGTGGCAGCAATGGCTGGAGTAGGGAGCAGCAGCAGCAACATTGGCTGTGTTGCCCCCGCAAGATTTGAGCGCTGCGGGTTTTTTAATTTTACATGCGGTTGCTGCTCATTTCTGTGGGGCGCACTCTCCATTACAAGCCACGCCCCCAAAGCATTTAAATGTTTTATTTTAATTTTTTTGTGGGACAGCTTCGGCTTAATGTCCTGCGACATATTTACAGCATAATCTGCAATCTGTGCACTGCTAATCCGCCTTGTTTTGTTTTGTGTCTCACAAGGGTCAACAGCAGGCTTAAATGGCAAATGGTATGTTTTTCTTGTTGATATTTGCTGGGCGTGGCACAGGAAGTGCAGCCAGAGTAAAAAGATGCCATCTGCACTTCAGCTACCTGTTTCAGCAGACAAGGATAGAAAATTACAGAGCGAGAGAGGGAGAGAGAGGAGAGAGCTGAAAGACAATTGCGATATAAACTTGTTTGTTTGTTTACACGTCTCAAAGCTGTTTGTTTTTTCTTTCGCATTGAAACTGTATTTCACAGTAGCAATAACAAAACTTTCAAATAAACAAACAAATAATCACATATCAGGCAGCTTAAAGGGGCACTTGCAATAGGCACGGGCTCGAACTGCGTCTGTCCGAGCATCAGGTTCTTTGCCAATGTCATTTGGGGGTTAGCTCATCGAAGCTGACTGAAGTTTGCCAGTTAAGTTGCTATTTTTGCAATTCTCTGATAACATAAGCAAATCAAATGAAAATATTGTGCTTGTACACTGCTTGATAAGCAGATACATTGATTCAACCTTAAGGTTCCTGAAACGTACTTTTTAACCAGCTGGGAAGTTGATTTCACCCAATGATCTTTGAAATTAATAGAAAACTACAAGTTAGGTATTCTAACAGCCCTCTCATCTTTATACCTTAAGCTCAGTTATTGTCGAATTAACACTTCTTTAAGATGGAATAAATTTCTAAATGGAATGTTTATTAAAATAAAAGTTTTCAGGTAATTTATGCCTACCAAGAAGCATAATTTTCATAAATCTGAGGCAAAGCCAGATTAAATGGAGATTTCATAACAACTATTTTTTGTTTTACCACAACTCTTGCATCAAGATAACTGTTGCATGCTACTTGGCTTATCGTTTCCCTTATTATTAATAATAATATTGCTTTTCAGCTTTGAACTGACGTCATTCTTGGCTAAAAAACCACAAGATTTATGCATGACATTTATCATGAAAGTTACTTGGATTACATAATATGCAACGTGGCAGCCACTCAAATGCCACTCAACAAGAAAACAGGGAGGGAGGGACGACACCTCATAGCCCAAGGCTTGAGGTAACTGCTTTGTTTCAGTTCCTGTTCCAGTTCGTACTCCTGTTGATGTGGCAGACACATATAATCCGCTCAACTGTCGAGAGAGCGGCGTCTGCCGCCTGCCGCTTAGCCCCTTTATCCTGTTTTATGTCGCCTGTCAGTGCTGTTGAGCGTAAATTAAAGCAACCTGCCTGCTGAATGATGCTCAGGATAATGCTCTTGATGCTCCTGCTGATTGTCATGGCGAGTGTCCTGTCCGGCCGCTTGTTTATTTTCAGCTTGGATTTAGCCTAAGATAATGCCCACTAATGACTGCAAATATTTGGCCAGCTCTTGAGGCCATTTTGCAGGATTTGCATAGCTCTGACTCATCATACGGCACTGTTCTAAATTTAAAAGCAGTGCCACAAATAGCTGGCTACGCCAGGCATTAGACAGGTCGAACAGGTCTGCACACAATCAATTGTCACATTCGACAGCATATTTTGAGCTGAGTCTAGGCTATAGATAGCCGCCAGTCAGCTATATTTATATTGCGTCAATTTCATCATTTTCAAAATAGTTGGGGTGAAAGTGCCAGTTGACGCAAGAGCTGGTCACGACACTAATGGCCCACTCACCGATGGGGTAGTAGGTGCTCATGAGTGCTCTCTGAGAGTGTGTAAAATTAAAGGTGCTATGATTAATAATAAATATATTTCCTTCATATCCATCTTTGTGGCAGTTTTGAGTATATTAGAGAAGCTTTCCGTTTAATAATATTATGTAAAGCATGTATCGCATTATGGCGAATAATATATTTAAATAATAAAAAGAGTTCAGCAAACAATTAACAAATGTGCAGTGAATTTGAGATTCCATAAAACCTTATAGCATACTTTTCGGTAACCTTAGAGACAAATTGTCGACCCCAGCTATATGCGAAACAGTTTGTATAAATATATATACACTTGGAAAAAAATTATCATGAAATTTGGAAAAACCACCCAAAGTGCAAATCACCTTGAAATATAGAAAAATGTTTGGTTATTAGAAAAATTGTTAAATATACGAAATAAAATTACTTAAAATAAAAGCGCAATATATAACTTAAAACTGGTGGCTTAAGTAAAATATTAAAATACTAATGTTCAATAGATAATATAAATAACAAAAAAGCAGCAGTAAGAATTATCTATGTACGTATATAAAAATATCATCCTTGGAAATTAGACATATTTTTTCATTTTAGAAATATTTTTTCTGAATAGTAAGCTGATTTACCCTTGTCGGCAAAAGTTTGGCAAATTTCTGATTTTGTTCTCAGTGTATAAATCTAGCAGCGAGGTACAGCATATTGATATTCCATGATGTGCATCAGCATCTATAGCTTTTTGAGAAGACACGCCGCCGATACGCAACCTCAGGCAACTGTCACATCAAAAAGTGCGCACATTTACAACGCCCCGTTAATTGGTGCTGTGGAGGGGGTTGTGGTGGTGGATGGGAGGGATGGGAGGAGGAGGGAGGGAGGGGGGGGGGTGCCTCTCCGCTTACAGCAATTCTCGCTAAAGCGGAACAACAGCAACAGAATTAAAATGGGGAACCAAACAAATGAGCGAAACTACAACGAAATGAACTTGTCATAATTATTTGACAGTTACGTTAATGATGTTGCAGATGATGATCAT